TGAACATCAAATTTGCTATGCTGTACGTTTGCAAGATGAAGACAACAAATCCCTGTGTGCCGTCTTCTTAATGTACAAAAAAAAATGTACATATAATTAACTTAAACGTAGCATACTGAAACTATACTATTTATAAAACCATAGTTATTAAACAATAATCAGGCTAAGCATATGTCTACTGCTTAAGTAGACGAGTCTGTGTGTTTTTTGGAGCAAAAAAATGTCTAACAGGAATAATGCTCGCGCCCTGTAGAATAGTTGGATTTTGTTAATTTTAGGTTAGGTAAAGTGAAACGATGACTGTATTGATTTTACAATGATGTGTGCTTTTTTATTATTTTTTTTTTATTTTTGTTTTGTGTCTAGTCACGGTTTGGGGCAGTAAAACTGCTTCGATTTTCTTCAACAGTATCTTGTTCGATAGGAAAGTGAATCTAGTTGGTGCGTTCGGGAGTTTAAAATTCCTTATAGTTTTCACAAGCGCTGGGATAAACAACATAAAAATTAAGGAAAAACGGGACTTTTTACGCAAAATTGGTTTTCCAAAAAATCGATTTTGGTTTTTGGTGTAACTCTAAAACAAATAACGTATATACATGAAATTTTCACTGGTTGTTTATATTTACATTTTAAATACATGAAATATAAATTTGAAATACGACATTTTCAAAATATTATGATTTGTTTTGAACTGTTAAGGAACATTTTCATTTTCCATTTTTTTTTCTAAATATATCAATTAAATTTTATTTGTTGGTTAAAAAAGCTTGAAAATTTAATGGAAGGCTTCTAGTATATTGTTTCAAAGGCAGATGGAAAATATGAAAAATCCTTAACCACAGTTTTTTTTACACCCATTTAAAGTTCAAAAAATGAAAAAATATTGAAAAATCACGAAAATTAGCAAATTATTTTGAGTTGTTAAGAATTCATTAAAATTTTTTTTTTTTTAAACCTAAGATATGAAAATATAATACAAGATTCCTTATAAGTTTGTCTGCCTTAATCAAAAAAAAAAAATGCCCAAATTACATTTTTATGAGAGTTTGAAGTTCATATTTTTACAATAAAGGGTATGTTCACTCTATTTCTCATTTAGCGTTTTGTTATTTTATTGTTATTCAAAAACTAATAACTGCAGTAGATACAGGAAAATTTTACTGAATATTTATATTTTTTTTTCTATACACCATACAATTTTGAAAATATTTGAACTCTTTTTGAGCTGTTTACGGACATTGTCAGTTTTCAATTTTTTTAGGGACAGTTTATTTTTATACTAATTTTAAGTTCAAATTTGGACGAATAAAAAACCTAAAATAACTATTTAAATTATTTTGTTGGTATTTTGGACCAATATTTTTCTTATTAAGTAAAATTTATAAAATATAATGTAAATATATAAAATAGTAATATTTAACTCCTTTAAACTATAAGAAATATAATTTAAAAATTATTTCATTAGATTATATAATTACATATAATATATAGGGAATATCAATGGGTGTGTGTGCCATTGAATAAAACTCGTTTTTGATATAAACATTTTTAATCTTAGGAATCTATATAGTACAATTTAATGATTATTAACATTAATAATATCTACGAAATATCTCTTGAATCAATGAACAATTTTATGACTTATCCATTAACATTGATAATAAATACTAGTATTTATAATCAATTCTATGAAAATTGTACTGAGAAAGCTTGGAGATCACTCTGTATACGCCAAGTAGTATAAGTAGTTATCTCAAGAAGAGAAATCGTTTATATATAATACATAATACCTACCTATTATAATTCTTATTATTAATTATAGTCAATGCTATTACTTATTAGCACATACAATGCACATTGACAAGATAATTTTTAATTAATTAATTTTCATTCAAACATAATATTAGCTTGTACTACGACTTAAATAACATTGAAAATCATTTCAAAATGGTTAAGTTTGTTAGCAGTACAACATGATAGATTAAAACATTACATTTTTTTATAATATTCCTTGGTAGTAGGACAGTGTTTTATAGCACCTAATAATAAAATGTATTATGGATAATGTTATACCATATAAGCAAATAATTAACGAGTCTTAGTGGCCGAAAAAAATATATATCTGTCATCAGCTGTATCTTTGTTTTTTTAAGTTAAAACTTAAAATACACCAAAGTACCATAATATAAGTGAACGATTAAAACTGTTCGCTAAAATGTAATAATTATTCAAATTAGTACCTAATATAATAATATTTAAACAATAATTATTAAAGTATTATATAGTGTGACGAATGATTGATACCTGAGAACATGGTTGGAAAACATTTTTCTTCTAATTAAACGAAACAACGTTTTATTCCTTTGAATACTATGTATCTTTAAATAAATTATACGTGTTTCAATTTTTTTAAATAATTTAATTTTTTTAGTTTTTATAAAATATCAATGCTTTCTTTAAAAAATATATTGCTTAAAAATACGAAATGATAATGTATAATGTTTTGTTTATCGGGTGGGGGTTGTCTGGCCGAAAATCTAGTGACCGAAAGTCTAGTAATCGAAAAAAAGTGATCGAAAAGGTATCTGGTCGAACACTTTTTTGATCGAAAAATATAATATCGAAAATGCAAATGATCGAAATGTTATGTAATCGAAATATGTCATGGTCGAAAAATATATATTTTGTGTTAATTATTTAAAAAAAAAAAAACATACATTTTAATATAAAATTAATTTAAGTAGGTATTATAACGTAGAAAAAAGTAGTTATAAAATATTTAAATAATTGGTAGTTCTAGATACTAGTATAACTTATAAGTATTGGTATAAATAATATAATATAGTAAGTAATTAAAATTTAAAATTTAAAAATTTTAATATGTTATGATCGACAAATATATATTACATACAAGTAAATTAAAAATTAACCAAAGTAGGTATTATAATGTAAAAAAATGTTGTAGTAAAATATTAAAATAATTGATAGGTATAGATACTAGTATAACTTATAAGTATTAGTAAATAATATAATATGATGAGTAATTAAAAGTTTAAATTTTGAGCTATTCCTCTTAAATACTCTAATAAATCTTATAAACCCGGATCAGCGTAATAAATCTTTGTTTTTTTTATATATGAAATTATTTATATTTAATAATATTCCTCCATGGATACTAGGTACAATATCAATATTCATATTTATATACAATAAAAAAAAATTAACTGTTGTTGCAAAAATATGTATAAAATACCAAAGTATATTGAACAGATGATAAACACTATTGGTAGGTACACCGTACACGTTGAACAGTCGTTAAACACTAAGTACTATACTACTATACGATATACCTTCATATGGGCTAGGTACATCTATAAAAATACTAGATAAAGTAATCGAAAAGATAATCATTATCTTTACTTCGACCAAAAAACCCATTCGACCACAAAATATTTCGACTATATTAATAAAATATTCGATCATCTGTTTTTCGACCAAAAAAAGATTCGATCACATGACATTTCGATCGCTTTTTTTCGATCACTAAACCTTCGACCAAATGGCCTTCTACCAAATGACTCGCACCGCATTATAATAATATAGTATACCCAAAATATATATTTTATTTTTGAAAATCATGACCTATACACTGCACACGTATAATATATAATATTATGGCGTAAGAAAAAATATTTTTGAAAGTCAAAGATTATTATGTTATAGACACTCACTATATATTTTGTTTTCTATTACTCTAAACAATAAAAATTAATCAAAACTTGTTTAAGGCGCGGCACACTTTGTGCAAGGATCATCTACCGATAAAAAGTTGAAAAATCCTAACTGTAGTAAGTTGGAGGACCAGGATGCTGATGAAGAAAGCTCTTCATCGACAAGTGATGTACCCACCGAAAAACTCGTCTTGTGAAATTGTAGCTCAGCTGAGACGCAAGAAACATATGAGTACGTGGAACATAAAGTAAGTACCTACTTATATATTTGACACTCATCGTCGTTCTATTAATTTATCATAATAAGTTTATCGTATTTAGTTGTTTTATTAACACTGTTGTGCACAGTCTTAGTGAAGTAGAAAAATAATTGTGATATATTATGATCACACGGCGTTTAGGATAGGCTTTTTCGCTACACTGCTGACGCGTTGGTCTGATTTACCAGAATTGTATTACTTTGATTAAACGTAAAAACTTAAAATACACCAAAGTACCATATTATAAGTGAACGAGTAAAACTGTTCTTTAAAATGTAATGAGTGTGTGTGCCATTGAATAAAACTCATTATTGATATAAACATTTTTAATCTTAGGAATCTATATAGTACATGTTCGGACCAATATGTGCCGATATGTGTATAAGCCAGCACGATGATAACGACGACTGTGCGAGGGATACTACAATCCACCACCACCGCCGCCCCGTACGTCGCAACTGTGGTGATATCATAATAATTATTATAATTATTAAATATTATAGCCGCCAACCAGTTCGGCCGTCAGCTGTATCTTAATAGCTAAAGTATCGGGCATATTACTCATTTGGTGTAGTAGCCGTGTAAGTATAGGACAAAACAATTATTTAGGTATTTTTGTTGTGGAGAATTTAATTCTGAATGAATGTATTTAGCTTCATATATTTTACAATGGTGTAGTATATAATTTCTCGCCAAGTAAATAAATTAACGAAACAAAATAAGTGTACTTTAATTCGATTTACTAAGCATTTAACAACTTACATTTAATTAAGTATAATAGCTATTTTTGGAAGGAGTGATGATAGTACAGTGTTTATAAAATTATCGTATTTCACTAGAAATTATCGTATAAAATAAAAACAGTCGATTGTACTGTAAAATAATAAACTATAAACTATATTGTAGTTCTGCCAGTTCTGCAGTGGTTACTTTATATTATATTATACAATATGCATATTAATTGTAAAATAAACAATACACAAGTCACATAAATAATAATAATATTTTTTTACAATATTTCATTATACAATAGGCAATTCGCTAATATAATAATAAAAAAAAAACCTGGTATTGCTTCAAACATGGTATTACAACCATTTTCCGCCAAACCTAAATTAAATTATACATATTATATTTATTTAAAAAAATTATGTATATTAAGTGGGTAAAAGTGTTATAACTTATGATCTGCGATATATTGTTTTTATTTTTTTGACATCACTTATACCAAAAACGTTGATACTATTTCAAAATTCATTTTTTTTGTGTTTATTAAACTTAAAATAACTTTTTTTGTAGTTCCGATATCGAAAAAATAAAAACAGAATATCACAGACAATGTTCACCATTTAACTAATGAAAATTTATTTTCTTAGTTATGAGTGTAACCTTCTCGGTTTCTTCTCGTGCAAAACCGAGCTTGGTTATAAAATACCTACAGGTTTATAATATTTGTGTTTAGAACTCGAATGATAATATAATAATGATGTATGACTATATAGTGATAAACATGATATTACCGTTTACATTAACTATCGCCTCGAAAGATTTTCGTCCAAAAAAATTGGACGCCACGCACTTATATTGACCACCGTCCGTTCTTTCCACTTTAGATATAATCAATGTATTGTTTTGTAATACCTGCAGTAAGTAGTATACTATGGATTAATATTTACAATATTTAACAGTACAATAATTTGAAATATATTACCTACTCTAAATATTAAAGAGTAAAATAATCGATAAAAGTTAACCAGGTACTGCCAATAGGCAATAGCTTAAATACGTCATAAAAAAGAATCAGTGAAGTAGCTCTGTTGAAAATATATTGCTAATAGCCAATAAGTAACGAGTGTTGTTCATAAGATTAACTTTTTCTAATTTATATTAAATTAACTTAATTTGTAACTTAACTTATTTTATTTGATATAAACTTAATAAATATAGAGTGACTTTTAATCAAATTAAAGTTAAGTTAATTTATAAATAATACAATTTTAAATATAATAAAAATAAAAATTATTATTTACTATGCATATTATTACATTACCATTTACTAGAATTTCAAAACACAATTAACTCCATTCGTTTGTGCTTCGTTTGTGCTGTTTTGTGCTTTTAACCCCGTAATTTGTGCTCAACCCCTTCTAAAGTTATCTGACTTTGAAAGTTGGGGGTTAACATTTAATACCAGCTACTATCCTTTGTATTACGAATCTGATTAAACTGTCCACATAATCATTTTTACCTCTATGGTCTTTAGTCGTAAAACATTTGGTTTGTTAGAAAAACCCATACACTTCTAAATTAGAATATTATTTTTATTTTATTTTAAGTTTGTGCCATTTTAGTAAATAAAAAAAATATTTGCTAACCAATAAATGGATTTACAGCCTAACACTAAAGATATAATTGTGATACAGGTGGTACTTTAAATATATTCAATGTATTTTGGAAAATCAAACCGATGTGGATTAGAAAATAGTTTGAACAATTTTTTTAAAGACACGAAGTTCTAATATTTATAGTTTTGTTTACCTACATATTATTTAAATAAAAAATATAGATTTTAACTATTTTTTTGTCATTTGTTATTCTTATGGGACTTATAACTTTTTCTTATTATGGTTATATTATTATTTAAAAAGCGTATTTCAAAAAGTTAATAGCTAACATATGAAAAAAATTAATACAATTTAAATTAAATAAATATTATAATTCATCAATTATATTATATAAATAATAAATATGCAAAAAAAGTATAATATCAAGAATAAATAAAATATTAAGAACCTTTAAAATTTATTTTCTTGTTTAGAACTGACGGACTAAATTTCTCCAGCCCTCCTCCCGCTATTTCAACAATGTGCATCAAAACATAACTGAAAGTTTGTAAAGGGTTTTAAAAATAACATTATCGTTCAGAAAACAAAAAAAAATAGAAAAAATAGAAAAAATAAACTAATGTTAATAAAAAAATTGACTATTAATAAAAATCTAAATTCTTAAAATTTAAAATTGAAAAAAATAAAACTGACCAAAAATTTAGCGTTCAAAAGCGTATTTCAAAAAGTTTTTTAAAAAAAATTTTTTTGAATATCTAATTGTTATCAATGTTTTCTTTATCAAATGTACCCATTGCTTAAAAATATAAAATTATAATGTATATTTTGTTTATCGAATATGAATTTTCTATTCAAATATATTGTATACTAATTCAACCAGAGTGCAAATAAATTTACTTAATATTGATGTATTTAATGTTAGACACTTATTTTATACATATTTTTTTATCAAGCTAGTAAGTATTTAATAATTCAATACTAATTGCCCTCGGGCATGTATTTCAAGCAAATAAATAAATAAACATAAATAAATTCAATTTATTAGTTATTAATTATTTTTAGGTCTAAATTTAATAAAAAAAATAAAATCAATATTTCTTATAAAATATTAAAATTGCATATCTAAAAAATGGTGGATAAGTGGATGTCACTCTGCTGTATAGTAGGTTACAAGTGGGTCACTGTAATGGATGGTGTTAAATTTGAATTCAATGATATAATATCATTATATAAGAAAAAAGATTCTGAGTGAAAACGGTCAGTCAGTCTATGATATTACTATAAGTATATATTTTGATGATATTATTGTGAATAAAGTAATTATATACAAAATCTTTTTTCATTTTTTAATTTGATAAATATTGTCAACAAATTGAACATTAAAGGTTTATAAAAAAAAAAAACTGTGTCTAAGGATTTATAATATTTTTAAGCTGCTATTTTAACCATATATCAGGAGCCTTGTATTATATTTTCAAGCTCTTTTGCAAAACAGATAAAACATTTTGATATTCATTTAAAAAAAAAATAAAAAAATTGAAATTTGAAATTTGAAATTGTCCGTAAACAGCTTAAAACGCTCGTAAAATTTTAATTTGATTTGCTTGTAGACATTTTTTTTTTTCATAGAGGTAGAAAATCTTATAAGAAATTTTGTATTAGATTTTCAAATTTTAGATTCAAAAAGAAAAATTTTATGAATTTCTAACTCAAAAAAATTTGCACATTTTCGTGAATTTTAAGTATTTTTACTTTCGAAACCCCCCAATGTACCTACTAGATTCAGTTTCTTATCAGAAAAGATACAGTTGAAGGAAATCTAAGCAGGTTTACTGTCCTAAAAGTTGATGACATGCACAAAAAAAAACACGAATCCACTCAGAACCTAAAAATTGTTTTAGTGGTTAGCAAATTTTTTCTAAACTGTTTTAACAAGACATGTTCGGGCTAGATTTTGGTGTTGGGATTTTGTACTAGACTCTATATAGGTTGAGGATCAGGAGGATAGTTGCATCAAATAGAAAATATTTGCAAGGGATGCAAAATGATTGGGAAAAATATTCCTAAAAAGTTTGAGTTTATGCAATGAATATAAAGTAAATAATTAATAGAACATTTTTAACAGCAGTGCACGATTATATATTAGCGGATTTTTCACCGGGTTTTCCCAAAGTATTAATTACCGTTATCTTAAAATAATCTTACCTGAACTCTTTGGCCAAGTTCTAGATCGTTGTCGTCTTTGGCCCACGTTATAAAAGGTTCCGGGTCTCCTAGGGCTTTGCACGAGAGTTGTAACTGTTCACCGACCAACACCGTCTTGTTCTCTGGTACTACGATTACATCTGGAGACGCTGTATGTACAACAATATGTATATATAATACGTCAAAATCATCACATTATTAAATAAAACAACTCGTTCCCGACAACAACTGTCAAACTATTAAGGCAGAGCGCACTCATAGCCGTCTGTACAACAATAAATATGGGTACCTACAGACAATATACTATATAGATTATAGCATATAATATTATGTTATATATTTTATGTCTTTTAATAATTATTTTAATTAGAATCATTACTTACTGCAATTAAAACCGTTTTCGGTTATTTCCTTCAACGATTTTGGGTGAATTTCTACAGGATAACGATAAAACGGGTTGCAACTCCAGGTGAGTACCAGAGTATCCTGAGTTAAAGTTTTCTTCAGAGCGTTTACAAACAATAGAATATTGCAATCGCACTTCAACGGGTTATGGTTAATATCTCTATAGAAGAAAGCATTAATGTTTTGTTTAGACAAATATATAATTCAAATAATGAAAGTATAACAATTATTATAATACTAATAATATGTATATGTAGGCAGTTCATGCTGACTTTCAAAAGACTCAACGACGTTAATGAATCGAATATCCCAAGTGGAATATTGCTTATCATATTGTTTCCCAATGACATATTTATAAAATATAAAATGTAATTTTCCCTTGGGCTATACAATACGATCACATGAAAAATATGTTTAATACTTACAGTGTATTCAGTTTTGTAAGTCCGTAAAACATTTCCAAATCAAACTTATGAATTTGGTTGTCATTCAAGATTAATTCATGCAAATTCATTAAGTTATTAAAAACCCCAATCTCGATGACTTTATTATATTCCAAGTTCCTGGAATACAATACAATTTTTTTACTGTCGAATAATCGCTGGTATTATGAGATATTGTATGATTATAATTAATGAATAATGTTTATTTATACATTTAAAAGTGTAGACATTACAATATACTCACAAGGACTTTAAATTTGTCAGATGAGCTAATGATTCGATATCCCTGATATTATTATGTCCCAAATCCCTGGAATAAAATACAATTTGTTTATTGTCGTATATCCGCTGGTATTATGGGACATTTTATGATTATAATTTATGAATAATGTTTATTTATACATTTAAAAGTGTAGACATTACAATATACTCACAAGATCTGTAACTCTGTAAGATGAGCTAATGATTCGATATTCCTGATTTCATTATAGCCCAAATCCCTGGAATACAATACAATTTGTTTATTATCGTATATCCGCTGGTATTATGAGATATTTTTATGATTATAATTAATGAATAATGTTTATTTATACATTTAAAAGTGTAGACATTGCAATATACTCACAAGGACTGTAACTCTGTAAGATGAGCTAATGATTCGGTATCCATGAATTTATTAAAAGTCAAGTACCTGGAATACAATACAATTTGTTTAATTATTATATACAAAATATATGATTATTTAATAATATTATTTACCCGCGTTTTATGTAAATTATTTTACTTGTTTTTCTACGCTTTTTGTACTTAGGTACTTACAGATATCGATCATGTGTAATATAAAGATATTTACGTGTTATGGCTCTAGATATCGTAAAAAGTTTTAATTTTCCCTAATAATATCATGATAATTTTGGGACTTAAAAGTTAAAAAGATAAAACGTACGCAGAATTCAGTACGTTAACTTAACTCAGTTCAAAATTATCATTAACTTTAGCCAGCTTGCTCAAATCATGCATCAATAATTTGTTCCTAATTATTGCTACTAAAGCTTGTTTTTTTACAAACCGGAAACAAACATACCAGTGCCTATATATGTATTTACGATATATTTTATAAATCGCTATAAGAACGACTTCCCAAGAACCTTGTATTAAAAAGTAAATATCTTTGACCAATATTTTTTTGAAACCCGGGGTGCCGTTTCCGTTTAAACAAGAACCCTCCAATTTTATATTATGACAGTGAGGTAACAAAAAATGACTCTACAATTTTTTTCCAATATTCCAATATTCCTTTTAGTCCAAAATATGATTAAAATGCTTGGCTTAGAATTTAAAAATGTATTCCGTATTGTATCAGTATTCCGTAGTGGGGGAAACGGGGTAAATTATTTTTTAAATGCAATTAATTTGATTTAGATTAAAATTTATATTTATAATTTAATTTTTAAAAGACACCAAATATATTATAACGATATCGTTCACTTTTAAATACAATATAAATGGCGTTTAATAACAAAGCCGGAAAATGGCCACCTTGCATCCACAAAAACGCCACTGGCGTTAACACAATCATTGATAAATTATATTTCACAATACTCGGGCAAAGTAAATTACCAAGTGCATTTTCAAACTCTGCACCCGGCGTTTTAACGTTGGTATTATCTTCCGTATAGTCGACTTACAGCTCTTTGGTAGCCGGATGTATGTTGTCGGGTATCCGGTCCAGTCCCTGGCCAGGGCAGTAGACAGTCAGCTCATCTTTGCACGAGCATTTGTAAGGGCACCCGGCGGTGACCGATGGAAACGACGACAAGGAGAACATCAACAGCAGTAAAAGTAGCAGCACCATAGTACTCCGTAAAAAAGTTTCGGCTGCGGATGTGGTGGCGTCCTGATGCATCGGCCGAGTCATCGCTCGGAATGGTTGCAAAGCACACTACACAATCGCACTGGCCGCCGCTGCGTTACTTAATAGAAAATAATACACAATACCTACTGAACGGGTTCGGGCGCGAGCGCCATCTGTGTTGTTAGCGTGGTTTTTTTTTTTTTTGTCTTAAAAATATGCAACGATTACGAATAACATGCGCGTTTTCCTGTTTGGATAACGTATGACATATAAACAATAAAATAATCTATGATAAAAAAACCTAATTTACCTAGATGTAATAATTTTTAATACAAAGGGATAGAGTAAAAGCAAGGAAGGTTATTAAAAATTTGAGTAATTACCTAATCTATGCGACTTAATTATTAATTATTAATTATAATATTTCAATTCATAATTTATTTTTTTAATTAAATAATTATTTATTTTTCAAATTATTGAAGGATTGTCGTGTTTTGCTGCGAAATTCTTTTTTTTTCTAATGAGCTTAGCCCTTTTTTAAAGTAAACAGATAAACCGTCGTTCACTTAAGTACCCAAATTTTACCTATTCTGCCTGTGGTAGATCGCGGACCCTGCGCTGTTGGTACGTAACTTTATAATTTAACTCAAAAGTATCAATGTTATACCAAGCATGTCACTGAACTCCTCCTAAACGGCTGCACTAATTGGGAATGCCGAGTCTGTCGACCAATATTTATTTTCTTCCTCATCCACGAAGACATGCCATTGTTTTATGTACGTAACTTACACGCGAGTATAGTACGCTCAATATTCACGTAATTGCGATACATATAATATCAAAACACAGAGTACAAAAAAAATTAAATGCATTAAATGAATACACTGATTTAAACGTAGACGAAAAAAATTAAAAATCCAGTCACATTTTTTTTATATAAGCATTTAGAGTTCAAATATTGACAAAATACGTAAAAATGACAAAAATTTGCAAATTATTTTGAGTTAGAAATTCATAAAAATTTACTTTTTAAATTTAATATTTGAAAATGTAATACGAGATTCCTCATAAGCTTGTCTACTTGTATCAAAAAAGTAAAGTCGCTCTGCTGTACAATAGGTTACAAGTGGGTCACGGTAATGAATGGTGTTAAATTAAAATATAATGTCATTGTATAAGAAAAACGATTCCGAGCGAAAACGGTCAGTCAGTCTATGATATTACGAAGTATATTTGATGATATTAAGGTGAATAAAGTAATTTATATATAACCTATTTACGTGGAACCTTGTTTTAAATTTTCAATCCTTAGCTATAAAAGTTGAAAATTTTATAAATTTTTAACTACAAAATTATTATTAAATTTTAAATGTGATTAATTTAGCCAATATTTAAACTTAAAATGCTTATAAAAAAAATTTGTTCCTATGTATTTTAAATATTTTTCAACTGATATTGTAATAATATATCAGGAGCCTTGCATTCATTTTTCACGTTTTTTTACCCAACAAACAAAATGTTGTTGATATTTATAGAAAAAAAAACTTAAAAAAAATTGAAAACTGACAATGTCCGTAAACAACTCAAAAAGAGTTAAAATATTTTCAAAATTGTATGGTGTATAGAAAATGAAAATATAAATATTCAATAAACTGTTCATGTATCTACAGTTATTTGTTTTTGAATAACAATACAATAACAAAACCGCTAAATGAGAAATCGAGTGAATATCCTATTTTGTAAAAATATGAATTTCAGACTCTCATAAAAATGTAATTTGATTTGCTTATAGACATTTTTTTTTGAAAAAGGCAGCAAACCTATGAGGCTGATTCCTAGGAGGGGGCTGCTACGATATCACTGGCTATAATTGCAGCGTATAACGATCTCAGACGAATATTGTTTAATATTGATGTAATAATATTATGCCGATAGTGAACTGCATAATAAAAATAAAAAACCCATTGTAATCGCTCCGATCTGAATCTAAAACAATAATTGCACGTACTCCAGCGTGTTGAACGATATCGCTGTGTCGTGTTAATCTAAAAAACCAGAAAAATGTACAACATATTATCACTGAACACATTTATGGAACGCGTGTATTAATCAAAATACGATCCTGATAGAAAGTTGCAACATTCAGTCACGGAAAACATGATTTATCTAATGCACGATCTAAGATATTATAGGTATACATTACACAGATAGGAAAACGTTGCGGACATATAAATTATTATCTCCCTGCAGACGCGATTACCGCTGGTATGTAAAATTTTCAAAAAAATCACACGTGCGTATATTGTCAACATATTAATTACCTAATATAATCGCATTGACGTATTGAACACGTACGGTTTTATTTTACATTTAATAATATAAAAAAAATAAAAAATTTTATTTTTTATTTTCTACCTTTTAGTTAAAAGTTTATTTTTTTATTAAACGTTGTTTCGGCACTTCTCCATTGCCTCATATATTGCCTGTAAGCATCGAGTCTGATTCGTTTAACAATACGATCTTCATTATCCCTGTTATTACGGTATTTATCACGAGCTTTCTCCAGCCGTCGTTTGCGTTGAGTGGTCGTCTCTCTCATTTTTGAGGATAATTCTCCATATTCGTCAATAATAATTAAAATAACTGTGTGTTCGCGACGGAGTACAAAATAAACAAATAGTTTTGGGCGAGATATATATTTTTCTTCGTCAAAAAGTGCCTCAAATCGAGCGCGCAAGATTTGATTACAGACAAACAGACAAACAGACGTGAAAGCGAACTTAAAAAAAGTGTGTCATAAAAAACACTAACGCGCAGCCAGGGTGACAGCTACTTTGTTTCTACTTACAATATAATATTCAAATAGTTACCATTCAGTAAAATCTTAATAACAGAAACGTTATTGTATCCGTTTATAAATCCTATCTAAATCGATTTAGTCGCATTTATATAAGTAAAATACAAAGGTTGATCTTGGAATATCAAAGGCTCTGGTATATTTAAAAAGAGCATTTTTGGATGATGACGGTGACAATATTATCAGAACAATTCCAAAAACCTTTAACATTACCATAAGTAAGTATAGTATAGTAAATACGTTTTCACTCTTCCGTAACTAAATTTTTTATTGCTCAGATAATGTGAAATTCTCTAATACCTATATTATAGTCCGGAATTAATTGCATATACCCATAGAATAACTAGTAACTTTTTACTAAGCAAGTTGACCCCCCCCCCCCCAACCGAATAATAGCGAAATATACCGATATAATATTATACAGACGGTAATATTACTTACCTAATTTTTTTTAAATACAACAGTAAAACCTGGAATAATTTATTGGGAGGGGCTCCAGTGCTCGCGTATACAGCGAGTAAAATATTAGGAATTTCGATTGTTATATACACAAACAAATAAGTATATATATTGCATATCTATTAGGTATACTTATATAATAATATAATATTAATAATGTTCTACGCTGCAGAATATTTGTCCGGTGCAGATACCAATAAGGAACGCAAATCACAGGCTCTTGGTGAAGTAAATAATCATCTATACATAATACATATAATATTAAAGTCTAATAATTGGAAAATCTCTGACGTGCTAAGTATTAATTTATTATTATAGATTACAAAATTCCACACCAGGATTGTGTTTCAGTGACCAGTGTAAGTGATGATGATTCGTCCTAGCAAGAGAGTAAATTACACTTGGAGGATAACAATGCAATACGGAATGAAAATCCGGTAACAGTGAAAATATTTTCGGGTAATAGTCTCGGTGAAGTAAATACAGTAAAAAGATATCGGAACTGCTATTCAGCACTTCTGTAAGGCGTTTTCAGTCGTCATGGTCGATTATTCACTTTCAGATGATTTTCCACTTTTCCGATTGTTTGTACCTACGCAATAATATTAAATTAATACTTAGCACGTCAGAGTCTGTAGAGTTTGACCAATTATTAGACTCGGATATGTATATATCTACTTAACTATTATATCTATTTATTAAAACTCTAAACGAAAATCAATCTGAACTTGTTTAAGGCCCATGCAAACGTTGTGCAAGGATCATCTACCGATAAAAAGTTGAAAAATCCTATCCGTAGTAAGTCGAAGGACCAGGATGTTGATGATTAAAGCTCGTCATCGGCGAGTGATGTACCTACTCACCGTAAAACCCGTCTTTCAAAATAGTAGCTCAGCAGAGGCGCTCGAAACATAATATGAGTGTCTGACACACAAAGTAAGTTCCTACTTATATATTAGACACCCATCGCCGTTCTATTAATTTATCATTATAAGTTTATAGTTTTGAGTTTTTATTCACACTGCTATGCACAGTCTTAGTGAAGTAGAAATATAATATTGTAATATATTATGATCACACGGCGTTTAGGATAGGCTTTTTCGCTACACCGCTGTCGTGTTGGTCTGATTTACCAGAATTGTATTACTTTAATTGATCGTTAAAACTTAAAATACACCAAAGTACCATATTATACGTGAACGAGTAAAACTGTTCTTTAAAATGTAATAATTATTCAAATTAGTAATTAATATAATAATGTTTAAACAATAATTATTAAAGTATTTTATAGTGTGACGAATGATTGATACCTGAAAACATGGTTGGAAAACATTTTTCTTCTAATTAAATGAAACAAATTTTTATTCCTTTGAATAGGTACTAGGTATTTTTAAATATATTATACGTGTATTAATAATAGTACTTACCTTATTTTTTTTAAATACAACAGTAAAACCTGGAATAATTTATTGTTAGGGGCTAAAATATTAGGTATTTCGGTTGTTATATACACAAATAATTAAGTATATATATTGCATATTATCTATTAGGTATACTTATATAATAATATAATATTAATAATGTTCTACGTTGCAGAATATTTGTCCGGTGCAGATACCAATAAGGAACGCAAATCACAGGCTCTTGGTGAAGTAAATAATCATCTATACATAATACATATAATATTAAAGTCTAATAATTGGAAAATCTCTGACGTGCTAAGTATTAATTTATTATTATAGATTAC